AGATACACTCTTCTTTAGCTCCTGGGCCACTGGAATATTCCCAGACAGAAATCTGCATTTATAGGCTAGTAAACATTTAAAAGAGGAAACCAAACTGCTGTGTTCGTCCTTACCACTTTGTGCACAAACCTAATTTTCTCTTCTTAGCAATTTAGCTGTATTTATCTGACAGATATTTAAAAAGAAAACTCATTCATTGGATGAGTTTCTGGAAAGACTTTTGAAGAACTGGTTACTGCCTTTCTGTGGGCACATGTTCAGGAATTATTTTAGAGGAAAAGGGTTGCACTTCTCTATAGTGGAAAACAAATTAAAACTTAGACTTACGATAAGCCTAACATTGTGGTTATGACTGAGTCAGCTATAAAGGCACTTGTATTTCCCAAATGTAAGCTGGCTATATTCACATTAAAATTTTCAGGAGGGTGAAGTACCCTGCCTTAAACATGCCTCTGAAATTTGACAAGCAGAGGCAAGGCAATTGTCTTGCTATTTAATTATTAGTTTTCTACTGGCAAGTTGTAGGTTCCCTCCCAGGTGCTGTGCAGGGCCATGAAAATGGTAGCCTAGATTTTAACCAGGCTTAACTCTTTGGTGAACTGCAGCTCTTTCATCATCAGAGTTCAGTTCATTTCTGACTGGTGGTATGTGTATAAACAGATCTCTCAGAGCTGTAAGAGCATGCTTTGTAGCCTAGAGAATTACTGCTATAATGGAAATATATATATATATGTGTGTGTATTTTGGGCCCTGCATCTGTGTCCTTTAGCTTGTCACTCTGAACAATAGAGTACTGTACAGTGAAACTGTGGTGCTTAGTAAAGATGATCTGATTCCCTATGAAAATAACAGATTTAAGCTAACTTAAGGGACCTATTGACCCTCAGAAAACCAAGGAGGGAGGAGGAAGGGGAAGTATCTTGAGTTCCAGAAAGCATACCAAGCTCCTTCAGGCTTTTTAAAGTGCAGCTGGAAGTCTGAAATGCTTAACTTGGAAGCCCGGTGGCTCTCTCCCTGGTACTTATATTAAACATAAAGTCATCCTTAAAAAAAAAAAAAAAAAAAGGAAATGACATCACATTGTCAAATAAGGAACAGCTAGCTGGAGTGGATGACTTGTAGTACAAAAATGTGCCCCTCCTCCTTTGAATTGTTTCTGAGATTTGTTATAGATACTTGCTGACAAGGTGAGCAAAAATAACTTGTGCATTTAAGGTAGCCACAGTCTCTCACAAGAGTGGTAGGTAGGTCCTTGTTTTGTTTTGTTCYTCTCTCTAATTTCTTACAAGCAGTGTATCATCTTCCATGTGAATAGTGTTGCCTTTAGAAAATACATCCAAAATTTGAGCACGCTTTCAAAGAAAAATCTTTACAGGAAACTGCATTCACATCCATTAAGTGAAACATTCTAAGATAATCATTTAGTCTGTTATACATACTAGAGAAATCTCCTATATTATGGAACTGATTTGCCTCAAATACTTAATAATGTCCAGGAAAAAGGAGCAATGCAGATTAACCAGTTTATCTGGGATGACAGTGAGCCAAGAGATGCAGATGCTTCTTAGTTTCTAAACAGAGGATTACTGTTACTGTAACACATGTATTTAATTATAATTCAGTATGAAAGCTGTGTATTCGGGATGCTTCATATCAAAATTTCAAAATTTTATTCTTGAGATTTTTCTGACATGTTTAGGTATGTTTGGCCATCTAAAAACAATCTTCTATTTATATTAACAAATAAGTTACTTGAATTACTTTAAAGCAGGCCTGAACGATTAAAAATCCTCTCCTTTGCAGAGTTACCTTTCTTTATAACAGAGAACAGATAGCTTTCCAATGTGCCCTCAAGCCTTTGAMTTCCCTTGACTTTAAGCTTAATAACTGTAATAATTACTAGCTGTAGTTTTATTTTGTACCGACTCAGGTTCTTTTGAATAATACTGAAAGTGCAACATCCTCAGGATGTGCTCCGAGTGCTTCCAAGTGCCACAATCTGGGCATAAATAGGCCAGACAGGCAGGGCAGGTAGGAAACCCATGTAAGTAACTTCTGCAAATCAGCAGCAAAAAAGCATGCGAGCTTCAATGTACTGCCTTATTGCATTGGTCCATATGCTTTAGCAGATCGTGGTTTTGTTTTATTTTTAAGTTTAGATCCTTAAGTCATTAAGGAGACCCATTTAGACCAAAAATTAAGATGGAAACCCTTGAGTTTATATTCTCCTGACAGACTTAGGTATTTTTTTTAAATCAGTTAATAGAGAATAGCAGCATCATGAAATACCTAAGTAATGCTCAGCTTAAGACAGACAACCCTATATAAAATTCAGACTTCATACTCCTCAGTTCCATATCTTGTGGCTCCCACTTATTTATGTTTGTTCAAAGCCGGGTATGCATAATTTCAAATATAAACACCAGCTCTCTGGACTAAGACTGAAAAAGTAACCAGGTGACTTAGTGAAGGAGCACAGCAATTAACCATATAGCTAGTGTCCTCTCTTGACACTTTTAGCTTCTATCGTGGAGATCAGTTTCATAATTCAGCCTGTTCACAAGTGCCCATTGAAACAGCAAGGCAATGCAAGTCACTGCCTGTGACCTCACTAAAGCATTATTGCTAGAAGCAAGCAAGTTTTATGGTTATAAGGTTTGTCTTTAGTTCTAAAATAGAGTTGATTGAAACAGGTTGAAGTTATATTTTCCTAGAATTTGTAAATATTTAGATCCCTTTCTGAAATYGAGCATAGCATTCCGTAGGGATTTCAGAGAGACCATTGTGCAACTACCACTCAGAAAGCTGGAATTTAGACGGCATTCAGGAGGCTGACACAGTAATTGCTGGCAGTGGTTTTGACGTAGGATCTGCGGGAGGTTGGGCCTGCTAACAAACCTGCAAGGGGTGTACGTTATCTCAGCAAAGCCATGACATGCTCTCAGCTGACAGCAGTGCCACCCTTCTTCCTGTCTCACTTATATCAATCAATGTTGCTCTCCCTTGCAGTCTTACTAGATCTTTTATAGCGCTAGCATTTGCTGACTAATCAGTGTTTTTCAACTTCTGACTTGCATTTAACTCTAAAAAAAAATCCGAAATAGAAGTGCAGACCCCTTCAAAGTCACCGAGTGCAGTAATTTAGCATTTCTTTTGCAGAATCATTACCAATAGTCTGGGGACATTCAGGGATCTGCGAGGCATAAACATCACCAGCTCTATATAGCGTTAACTCATACGATCAGCAACAGTTTTATTGGCAATTGTTTTAACACAGTCTGAACACATTTTAGAATTGATACTACTATTGTGCTGCCTTTTATTTAACTTWGAAAATCAAATTCCTGTTACTGGGTCTGACTTTAGGTGATGCAAATATCTAGTTTAGGTGAGTTTAAGATTTTTRTCTTAGAAAGAAATAAATACTCTCGGGAAAAACAAGAGCACTGAAATCAGTGTGGTTAAGACTTGGCTGCACTGCAATAGAAAGAATGATAGGCTGGGTCTTGTTCACTTCTATCAATACTAATATTCCTAAAGAGAAGGTGATGAGGTTTTGTAAGGGATAGACATTGGTAGAGTCAGAAGCTGTTTTGCAGGTGTTACTTGCTTAGAAGATCAATACTGGACCAAATTCAACACTGGAAGAGCATAGCAGAGAAGTTCTTGCTTAAACATTTTTCTGCTTATAAAAGACAAATGTTAGTGTTAGGTTTCAAATTAAGGCTGGGACACTGGGTTCTAGTGCTGCTTAGAAGTCACCTCCTCCCTTTTGTGTTGCAAGGCAGAGGAAGATTAGATATATTCTGCATAGAAGAATTAGCCTGGTTTTGAGCAGAATTATTTTAAGCCTAAGCTATTAGTTGTTTCTGTGTAAGGCAGGACCACACTGTCACAAGGGGGTTCTTGATGGGTATAGTTTGTTGTTGGAGCTCATGCCCAGTTGTTTGCCTGTGCTTTACGTGATTTTTTTTTCCTTCAGAAGTAATTTTGCCTTATAAACTGATCATATTCTTGATTCTCAAGAAAGATACTAATTAGCTGGGGGGAAGCTGCCATATAACACCATACTGTACCTGCTGAATTGAGGGTATTTGTGTAAATAGTTGAAGCACAGACCCAGAGAAAATACTGCTTAGTCTTAATCTTTTTCCTCCAGCAGAATATTGATTGCCTTTACACAGATTTTTCTGAAATAATGAACTCTGAATCACCAAAAAAAACCTCCCTGAATCAACTTTCTCCTTAAACTATGATTGCTTGTTGAATTTGAAATAATTGCCAGCACATTCCTAGAGTAAATGGATGAGGTAAATTGTTTGCACATTCAAAACACATCTGAATAGAGACAAGAGCATTTCAAGATGGTAGATTTTTTGGTAGGTTTGCTTGAAGTAAATAGCTAGATGAAAATTTGAGAATTAAGTGTCTTTATGTTTGAGCTGATTAATAATAGTGGCAGCTTTACATAAAAGGGTTACAGAGAGCAATTTCACTTCTGATCAAAGCTGTCAATATTTTTATTGCAGCTGTTCTTCTGAAAATTTTTTCAGCCCATTTAAGTCGGTACTTTAAAAAATATACTAGGCTATTTTATGTTGGCCACACTTGATATCATAAACTCATTGGCAAAAATGATTTGTCTACTACAGAATTAAAGACAGATTGCTCTGCAAACCATTTGCTTGAATAATTGGCAGTTTATGCCCCAAAACTGAATTTGTCAGTTCCCATAAATCACTAGAGTTATAGAACATACTTGTCTCGATTCTCTACAGCTTAACATATTTAAATTTATATTTCAGTTTTATAATCAGTGACAAAACAAATTTGTTAATAACTGTTGCAACAAGGCTTTCTGCCCCAGCACCCTGACACTTGACAATAGCAAAAGTTTTAGTTCCTTCTTTGAACTACCAAAATTTTGGATGACAGCATGTCTGCATTTTTGATATTTATGCCTTTTTTTTTTTTTTTTTTTTTTTTTTTTTTTTTTTTAAGGGAAGGCAAGCTGCAGGAAGCCTGTCAAAACTGAACTTCTAAGGTTGGGAGAAATCACCACTAGAGCCATACACAATGTCAACTGCAGGAGTTGCAGCACAGGAGATGAGAGTCCCATTAAAAAACGGTTTTCTTCACACTAGCCAAGGCATGGGGAGTCTGAAAACCTGTTGGGGTAGCCACAGTGGATTTGAAAAGTAAGTGAAGACTAACCTTTTCTATTGCATTTTCAAGTGTAAGATTAGAGTTAAGAATACTTTTAGTAGTAATCCATGGTTCATTTACAGTTTTTTGTTTGTTTGTTTTTAGTACTTTCTTTACTGTGGACCCTATAGCTGTGGCATATAATTTTAATCCATCAGCAGAGCAACATTTACCATCTAATGGTAAGTATAATGATGATTTTAAAACATAAAACTCTAATGGTTGTCTGGGAAGAAGGCCTCCTCAAAGTCTTCACGGAGACACTGTCTCACTTTGGATATAAGGCTGCCCTCTGGTGATAGAATGAAAACATTTCAAGAAAATACCACTCTTCAAAAACATGCAGATTATTTCAGATGTGTAATCAAGAACAACTTTTCTTTGTATTTACAAGCCTCCGAGTTGCTGGTATACTCGTGACAAAAAGACCTCTAGGAAAATAAGACTTTCTTGGATCATAGTGCAGTAGCATCCATGTAACTGCAGCTCTGTTCTATTGCTTGTGTGGGAGATGTCAAACTATACCATTTAACTGAAGAACCCTCCTAAAATGATAACATATTCATCTGCTCTCCTAACTAAGCACATGCCTGCTACAGCTCTGTTGAGTCTTGCAGTTAAGATGTGCTTYTGAAATCACTAAGCAGACATTATTTACTCTTGCATTAGAAGAAATTAATTAAATACGTAATAGCAAAGTCATGTGGTAGAATGTTGCTTAGAAGTGACTTTCTTACCTTTTTAGGGCATTCTTCAGACCATGTTTCCATGAATGACCACAGCTTGGCTGAGAGTTGCATCCAAGTCCCATCTCAGAGATCCTGTCCAACTCCTTTAAGTCCCCAAAATGACCAGCCAGTTTCGAGATACGAAGACCATCTTGTTCATGGCTTTAGTAAACTGTCATTAACTATGGGCCATGTTTCTGAGGAAACACCTCCTCACATGCCAATAAAGCACGGGCCAATTCATTTTCTGTCTGCATCTTCCAGTGACCGCAGCTCCAGGCCGTTACCCCCACTGCCTATTTCTGAGGATCCTTCTTTAGACGAGGTTGATAAAGAAGTGGAATTCCTGACCAGCTCAGACACTGACTTTTTGTTAGGAGATTATGAACTTCCTTCCTTTAAATCCAATGCCCCGGGCAGGCGGAGCTTTAGAGGTTGTGGACAAATCAATTATGCATATTTTGATGCTCCAGCAGGACCCAAACCAGAAGGCACCAACCCTGTACAAAGTCTAAATGGATCCATATCTGGTATTTATCCTCCTCCGCAACAGCTGCATCGACGTTTGCGAAGGTCCCATTCGGGACCTGCTGGATCACTCAATAAACCAGTAATGAGACTATCTGGGCACTTAAGCAGGTCTTCTCCAAATTCGGATGAAGAGAAACCAGAGATTCCACCACGGGTTCCCATACCTCCAAGGGCTCTCAAACCAGATTACAGAAGATGGTCAGCAGAAGTTGCTTCTAGCGCATACAGTGATGAGGACAGGCCTCCCAAAGTGCCTCCAAGGGAACCTTTCTCTCGTAGCAATTCCCGGACACCAAGTCCTAAAAGTCTGCCCTCATACCTCAATGGGATTATGCCCCCCACCCAGAGTTTTGCACCTGATCCTAAATATGTCAGCAGCAAAGCTCTACAGAGACAAAATAGTGAAGGATCTGCCAACAAGGTCCCTTGTATTCTTCCTATTATTGAAAATGGTAAGAAGGCCAGTTCAACACACTACTATCTGCTGCCTGAAAGGCCTCCATATCTGGACAAGTATGAGAAATTCTTCAGAGAAGCGGAAGAAACTAGCTCTAATTCAGAGGTACAGTCCTGGTCTGGTGAAGGCACAGCCACATCAGCCCCAACAAAATTGGACTCAAAAACTAGAACAGACATGGCTGGTCATCTGAAACGAAAACATCCATCTTACGTAGTTTCTCCATAGCCTCTGGGAGCACATCTGAGCTCAGTTGTTCTGAATAGAGCTGAACTTTACCATGTTACAATGTTCTTGAGGTTCTCAAATCATGAAGTAGGACCAATTTGTCCTCTGGGAACTGGAAAGCAGATGGTAAAAATCCTATAATGCTGCATATCTCTGATATGTTTCCGAAGACTGGTTTTCTTGCCTTGGTCTGTAAAAATTGAAAACCTACAGAGATTTCATAGAAACATATCGACGGGTAGTAGTCMGAGTTGGCCAGTTATATGCTATACTAGGTTAACATACTTGGTAGTCACTTGGTATCAAAGAAAAAAAAAGAAAACCTAACTTTGCTTATGAGTCGCATTTAAAACTGATGGAGCAGATATTGCAGTACAGTTTTCATAGTTTTCATATAGGGCATTTCCAGAATTTCTTATTCATGGTAACACTGCTGAGAACAAGACTTCTTTCTTAGGGTATATCAGCCTGGTTAAAGAGGAACTTCAGAATCAAATATCCCCTTTGAGACTTGATAAGCATAGTAGAAAAGCATTTAAACCAATTAGTCTGACACTTGATTTCACACTAACAGATTTTTTTTTCTTCAAGTGAAGTAGCCTGAAATAGATTTAGGCTTTGTGGGTTTTTTTCAATCATTAGAGATTGCCTCATTTTTGCCATTTCTCTTAGGAAAGACTTGGACCAGCTCCTGCTAAGCCTCTGCTACTCTTTTCCTGATGGGTTTTAGAATGCCTCCTAGATGGGGTGAATGTCTACTTCAAGTGGCAGAGGATACGAGCAGCTGTGGAGTTGCTAGTAAATAGGCTGTAACAACTATGTACTCATCTAGTGTCTGACATTCGAACTGTATCAGAAAATCAGAAACACAACACAAGCTGGTCTTGTGTTTTGGTTTCTTTTCAGTATTTTAGGGAAGGGGGAAGGTATGAAAAAAACACAATTCATTTATGAACAGTGTCAGTCCCATCTGCTTCAGATGCTGCTTTTTTTTTTTTTTAAATCTCATTCTGCCCTCAGTGATCGACTGAAATTCACTGAGGTGCTAACTTTGTGCATTAAGAGTTTCTCGTGCCATTTTGATTACTTTTATCCTCTTACAGATAAGCACAAGAGAAAGGGTGCTCATTAACGGAGGTACAAAAGTTAAACGTTCCTCCTAACATATATAAACAAGCTGTTTACAGTTTAAACTGCTGGATGAGATGTTTGAGCTATTTTAAAGCTTAATTTTTATTTGTGTTAGTACAAACTAAATGAAGGTGAAATACATGCTCTAGAAATGCACTGATTTCTGCATTGTGTACAGTATTGATTAAAAATAATTCACTTTGTATTTTGAATATTGTCAAGTCTTGAGTTTAATAAAGTTAAAGTATACTATTTATGTTACATTTTTTGTTTGTTTTTTTGCTTTATTGGGTAATTATACAATTATGTATTTGCATTTACTAGGAAATTTAAAGTGAAAAATGTTAAATGTGAAACAAATGTGGAATTCAGTTTCCATGTAATTAAAATTAAAATTTCTGTGTTTGTGTTTGATCATTCATATTGAACAAATCTAATTTTAATTCCTCTTTACTAAAGTATGTGGTATTTGGGGGCATGTAGTTTTATGCTGGCAATAAAGTGTCCAATAAGACTGTAATATCCCATAAGTGGCCTATCAAGAATAACAACCCTTGTCATTTCTGGAGTCACCAGTAGCATTTAGGTAACAGATTATGTGTTCTTTGCTATTCAGTATGAAGACCACAGCTGAATGGTTGTCACTGGGTGACACRGGAGGGAGGGTGACAAGCACTGGCAAAGGTAAGTGGAAGCCTCTCTTGCGTATTCCTAGGCAACGTGGGATTCCTGTGCTTTGAGGGACAAAGTTTAGGTGATGCAAAAGCTACTGTTTTTCAAGTGAGTAGTTAAGCTCGAGGGCTGTGGGGGCAGCTTTGCAAGTTCTGGCCAGAAGATACGTCTCTGCTCCTCCTCTGACATGTGATAAAACACGTCAGGACACAACACGTTCTCTCAACAGTCTGATCAYATGTTTGAAAATGCAGAGCTTGGGCTCACCTGGGCAGGGCCTGAGAGCTGCCTCTTGGGAAGAAGCCCCTTGCCAAATAGATTTTGCTGCAATTGCGAGAACATCAGCAGCCCTCCGGGCACGTGTTATAATGGAGACAGACAAGGGCATTATCGAGAACTGGACACTGTGATCACCTGAACAATCACAAAGCGGACAGTGCAGGAGCCGAGCAACCAGACGGGAGTGGTTGATTGACCGGGTGTCACGGGTCCTCGTCTTGTGCCTGCTTGGTGGAACATAACCCATTTAGCAATACATAAAGCCATCATGTCTGGAGTGGATGSGTGTAAAAAGAATAGATTAGGGAACCTGACATTTGAAATGCAGAAGCAGCTCTGGCCAAACGAGCTTCATCTTTTCAAATGGTGGGGGGAATGAGGGGAGGGAAACACACAAGTGCAACTGCCGCCACATCAGCTTGCTTGATTACAGCCTGCAACAGTGAGGCGCTGGCAGTGGTGACCGAGGAGAAGCGACATAGTATCGGGGACACCTGACCAAGACCCCTACTGAGAGGGGATGCAGGCAGCTGCCTCCTGTCACCAACGCTCATGCTCTCTCCTCCATGGCTATTGAGGTACATTACCATGCTTGGCTCAGCTGGTATGGCACTTGGCCGCTTAGTTCACTTGTCTCCTCATTTTTCTCTAACCAGCCCCTGGAAGTCTTTGATTTTATGTGCACTCCAAATAAAACTTGTGATATCGTATCTGAGATCAAGTATGTGGTCCCTGGCCATCCGGAATCCCCAACCCCCTTTTACCGCTTTCAAAACCATCGTTAGAAACCATGACCCCTATAACCACCTTCAACAGTATTACAAGCTGTATCTGTTAAACACATGCTGCCTAGGTTACTTTAAAGAAGAAAATCTGACATAGAAGTATCCAGATGTATCACTTTATCTATCGGTTAACTAATCCATTGACTTTGTGTTGTGTGTCCCTACAGAGATCTTTTTTTTTAAACTAGATTAATGCAACTTGTTTTTCAAGGTTATATTAACATAAAACAGAAAACATATGGTAAGTTTCAGTTTCCCATGGCTCCTTGGCACTGAAAGATCTAGCATATGTGGTTTAATTATACTTATTAATATTTGTTGAATACAACTGCAGAGATCTCTGGCTGCTGAGTTTGTGATTAGCATTTGTATAAACTGAAAGACATGTTACCACCACCCATCCTGCACTGTCATCCAGGGCTTGCATAATCCCCGCCCAAATGCCTATTTTCATCCACACAGCGCATTATTTTTTTTCTGAATCACACATGGAAGCCACACCTATGATTGTTCATAGACTGGTGCTGTATTATTTATATATTGGTGTGCACCCTGATTCCTACATGTGGTTGATTTTGGAGAAGGTGTTAGGCATTCCAAATTTTAAGTGGCAAGTCACTGAAGCATGGGAGTCATTAACTCCATTCATTTACTTACAAAGTGATTCAGAGGAAGAAAAGCTTCTCTGTTTATGTTAAAATATGCAGCTTCTTGCTGCAGATTAAGGCTGTCACCCACAAATTGAAAGCCACTGAAAGCCACTTCTAAAAGCCAACTGTTCGCCATGAGAAAGGAATTACAATGCTAAACACTACTCTTTCCTGGATACATCAGGGAAAAAAGAGTTCTGAACAGCTACAGACTATACAGCTTTGAAATGCCAGGAGGGGAAAACTAATCAATAAGTAAAAATCAAGATTTCCCTTGGTCTCATCCTCCATAAACTATTCAAGGGTGCCAACCATTCTACACTGAGCCATCCTAAAACACCTGGAGGGTCTCCATGCACAAGGCCCCGATGATCAAGCTTGCAGTCCCAAGAATGGTATCTGGTTCACCAGAACACTCAGCTGGCAGAGGAATAGTTTTTATCTTTGTTAGTATTTTTATGCTCACAGCCATCTCAAAGGCAAGGKCAGGACCAAATGCCCTTTTGGGAGGGAGCACACAGCCAGTCCTACCACGTGCTGAGCAGCCTTTAGGTGCACAATTATCAGCYTCAGAGAAGTCCACACTGAAGACAGCTCCAGTCTATGCCTTGCAGCACTTSAAACGCTGCAGGGCAAGGTGCAAGGAAGACACTAGTGAGCAGTGCGCAGACCCTTGTGACATTACTCACTGCCTTGCCATTCTTCCCACGGCTGTTGTGCAAGAACCAGAGGAAACCCGAGACTCCAACCCTACTAGGCTGCACTTAGGAACTTCAATTATCATCTATCATGTTGACAAGTTATTTAAGAAAAAGTTTCCTGCATCCTGCTTGCACAGCCCTGTACTTAGAGCTTGGGCAATTTGAAGTGGCGCTGGGCTATTATGATGCCGAATCTGCATAACTCCGGTGTACTGACAGGCACGTGGCAATGCAGAGGCCTCCAACAACTCTGGGTGGAGATGAGCGTGCAGGTGCACACCCTGATGGATTCTATTGCTCATGAGATTAAAATAACCTGATCTGCTTTTGTTGGGGRAAAAAAAGGGCTTTTTGCAGAATATCTCATCACGTGGAAAAGACAGTGTACTGAAACAGTCATTCTGTTAAGAGTAACAGGCGGGCAGCCAGCCACCCCGAGGTGGGCTCCTAAGGTCATGAAGTGACACCAAGTAAGCTCTWGTTTCACACAGAGGCCAAAGGAAGAGTGGCATAAGGCTTTAAAGATGAAAGSTTAGCCTGAGCACAATGGAAAAGTAGTACTTAGCTCCTAGCTTCACATTAAACAGCTTAGTGATAGTGTTCTGCCACACACACGACAATCATAGGTATTTTCAGAAGTGAGGATAAAGTGTTAGAATTTTCTTCTCTGGGTTTTATCAGTCATGTAACRCCCTGCACTGGATGGAATTCACAACAGCACTGCCAGAGCACATTCCGTGTCCCTGGAAGATGCCAAGGACTCCATCACTTCTTGAGCGAGCTTTTGACTAGAGGACSATATCTTTATCCTGACATGCAGGCACAGGCACCAGTCTAACTCGAGACAATGCAACAAGGAAGAGTGATGCACAGAAACTAGCTCAAGATGGCTCAGACCTTCAGTCTTGTGGCCTAGATGTTATTTTCTCAGAGCAATTCATTGATACTTAACTGTAGGGAGAAACTGGATAGTTTAAGAGACACAACCATAAAACAAAAACAAAAGATCAAGAAAAAAGGAAAAAATATCAACAGAAGTATGCACCTCTTGAGGGACAGCAATTCAGACATTCTTAAGTTCTGGAGGTAAAATATTCTATAGGAGGAATCATTAGATATCAAAGCCCTTCTGACTGAACTATGCAGCAGAAACCCCCCCCTTTTTTTTTTTATCTTTTTCTCTTTAACCAGACACAGAGACAATTGTGTTGCACAACACAACCCTTRCGGCACGAGCACAGCAGCACCATCTGCAGGGAACAAGGGCAGAGAGGGGGGCTCTTTACAAGCCCAGGAAAGCAGGAACCAAAAGCAGCCGCACCTCGAGCCAAGGCAGTGCCCTCGCCAACAAGGGGCGCAGCCCCCTCATACCTGAAYGAGAGGAGCAGAAGGGACCTCACGAAGGCACCAGCTTCAGCCACCAGTCTGGTGATCACCCAGCAGCTCTGGAGCCACGAGGCAGCTCCACACTCAGAGCAGGAGGCCTCAGCAGCRCAACAGAGCTCTACCAGCCAGAGCTAGGCCCAAGGCCCAGCTTAAATGGAGCTGCAGGGCGGAGGGTGCTGAGARGGCCCAGCTGAGGCTGCTCAGGGCCATGGCGGGCACTCAGCACAGCTGGGCCCTGCTGTGTACAACTCTGCAGAGAGCAGTTTCAAAGCTACCAGTCAGTGGCCGAGGAAATGTTCATTTTAGGCACTAGCAGCAAGTCCAGGTCAGTATTTTTAAGTSCCCTAAAGCAGAAGGTAGATCTGGGTTAGGAGAAAACGCACAAAGAAACAATACACAAGCAGGGGTGCTTCGTTTTTATTTAATCAGCAAACATTTGTCCACGCGATTTTTAAATGTCATCCAAGAACTAATTAAGGTTATCAGATGCTAACTGCTTTTTAGTGCTGAAGTGGTTTGCTAATAGGATTTTTTTTTCCAAGAATTAATACTGCTGGTTTGTAAAGCTGAGGAAAACTACAGTTTAAAGAATTACAGCTACAAAATTCACCCACAATTAGACTATATTTATAATAGTGCGCCTTTCACTTTTTCTAGGAAAGTCTACTTTTCTAGAAGTAGAAAGTTCTACTCTATGTCCTCGACCAGGATTTCAGTCTTTTAATATCAACGGTGCCTTCACCTGTTCAGCTACCTCCTTCCCCATCAGTACTTCAACAATGGCCAACCCAAACTCAAAGCTGGTACCAGGGCCACGGCTGGTGAGGATGTTCCCGTCTCTCTCCACGCGGCTCTCGGAGTAGTGGTAGTGTGCTTGCAGAGGGGACACAACAGAAAGGACGTCAGTCGAGCTGCGCAGCGCCCACAACCACCGAGTCAGCTGCAGGGCACCRCCACAGGCCACAGCGGCCAAGGAGCGTCTGCTCTGGATGACAGAGCTGACCRCGTCTGAGCTCTGGCCGGCTCTGGATGACAGCATCACACAGGGCAGCCCCCCTGGGGCTCCATTTCCCCTCCACACGCCCCCCAGCACTGCGGAGCCGAGCAGCCTGTCGCTGCCCGGGTTCGCCTGGGCAGGGGGCAAAGGCCCCGCATGAAGCTCCCGCAGCTCGTGCCCCGTGTGCGAGCACACCTCTCATTGCACACACTCRTCAAGAAGCACTCACTCACCTGCTAGTTCCCAGAAAGTTACTTTTGAAAGTGTAATTACTTTTCTACATGAGTTTACAACTTTTTTTTTCCTCCCAAATGSACTCAAAAGAAACTGGAAGGACCCTGCCATCTCCTGCTCACCTTTCAAACTGGTTAATAGTCACAAGAAATTGTCTGAATGGACAAGAAAGAAGCACAGCCCACTAGCTGCTCACAGCACCAAAGCRCTATTTGTGGGAGAATTAATAAAAAAGTAGTCTGGATTGAGGCCTCTGAGGCAATGAAACAAAAGGGCAAGAGATGGTTTAGTTTCAAGAGTACTTGCAGRCAGGGAGAAAAAGAAGAAAGTAGAAGTGTAGTTTGCTGAGGATGAGAATGCTTATACAGCCCTGTATTTTCAGGCTAAAATGCCTTAATGACTTAAAGACACAGTCTAAGCATGTCCACTTGAAATTTCATTATATTCAGAAAAGCATTATTGAAATTCAAAGAAGCAAAATAAGGTACAAAGTTATTATCCTTTCTCTAAGGAAAAGGTGCAACTAAAGTATTTTCTGACAAGAGTTTAGGGAGAAAATTATGATCATTACATACCTCCATTCATCATTTTATCTTTGGCCAAAGGATGCGTTGTAACTTTGCTTCCAAAACCTATCCCATGTGCCAGAAGGGCAGTGGGACCTGTAAGGATAAAGTTACACCAAAGTCTCAAAAGTATTTGTATGCAGCAGCAGAACACACCAGAAGAATACACATCAAAGGCCCAATGCTCTCTGTTGACAGACTACTACTCATAAAATTGATTTTAGCTTTATCTCCAGAAAAAAAAAGAAGCCTCAGAAGGAACATGGCTATCTCATCTCTTCCATCCTATTTCATAAAACACCCTATTYGGAAAAACATCAAAGCAACACAGAAAGTTTAGGCAGCTATCATAACAATGAGTGTATTGTCTTATGAAGGGAAGCACAGCGCCTTCAAACTGATGTATTTCAAATGATATATTTTATTTAAAGCTACTTGAAACTAAATAAGAAAAAGCTTGCRTTTCAATCTGAACACTAATTAAGTAGAAATATTTTACCACATTGTTAAATCCCAGTTTTAAAGAATGTTTATAAGACTTCCATTAGAAGAAGGCTTTAAATGTTGAAGTCGCGATAACAAGCAGTATTTTGGACAGATGATGGGCTAACTGCTAAGTTTTTGGTTTCCTCTTCTCTCTTATTTTCTTTTCTTTTCTCTTCTCTTTTCTTACCTTCCCTTCTCTTCTGATACTTCCTCCTTGGCCTGAATTGAGGAAGGATTTTGTGTAAAGCAGTATAATGTCATCTGACAGAAAATCCTCATGGGAATTCCAAAAGAAACTGAAGGTAGAATTCACCTGATGTGAGATTCATTTTTACACATTTGACTCATTTCAGACACATTCTAGGAAATACATATCTTGTTGTTGAGCTATAATCTGCTCTGAGAAGTATCTTATCTAAATGAAACATCCTGATTGCAAGCAAAGGCCTGTATTAAGCAATAAGAGAATTTACAATTATTCTGCAAAAGAAACAGGAATAGAAGTAGAGAGCTGCCACAGTCTCATTCAAGAACATTTACCTAATGTTCTGTATGCATTTCACCTAACAAGAACAAAACAAGAAATATTGAGGCCTGCCCTTCTACACTTCTTAAACCCCAGTGATACATCAGAAAACAAAAGTGAAAATACATAAATACATTCCATTAGACAATTTATTTTATGTCCTCATCATCACTCTTTGAACTCAGCTACATATACCATGGTCGACCTTGCACTTCAGTTGAGAATACAGCTATTCATCTTGCCTTTTTTCACATACAACCCTTCTTTCAAAAGAAGCCAGATACCTAGATGTGCAAAGCATGCAAAACAACAACCATCTCCTCAAAAATCATTCTATCTCCTGTTGCCACTCAAATGAGGAAGGGTGAGCCTGAAATTCTGTATTTACAGCCTTCCTTCTAAAGCGTAAGGACGATGCTATTTTATGCCAGACAAACTTATAGCAGCACTGTTGTGCCAKCATTGTGTCCTGGTGAAAGATCATTGGGATAAAGAGGTATTTTATAGAACACTCTTGTGCATTATATTTCACTTTGCATATTTAAACCACTAATCTAACACCTTATGACTAGTAAGGACTGGGTATTCAACAGGACTTGCAGGACATATGTAACAGTATTTAACAGAACTTCTGCTAAATTTGCACAGTATTCAAATGTTGAGGGGTACATACACAGTATACTTTCCTGTTACTAGATTACAGGGACACAGATTTCTAAGATAGGATAACTRTCTATGTGTCCCTTCAAAATATCCTGACATTTTACAAAGCCATATGTCTTATTAGCTCACCTGCACATATAGCAGCAATCAGGCCCTTCCTGCTTTCCTGGTCCTTCAGAATGTCTTTCACAGCAGGAGACTGTAAAAAGAAGTCACATCACAATTCACCGTTTCAAGTTGATTATTTGAAACACGGCTGAAATGTTTTCTACTGCAAATTAATGAAGAGGTTTTACACTGAAAACTAACCAACAATTCTCAATCTTGTTCCAGGACAGCATGCAATGAAAGTRCTAAAGGTAAAATCTGAACCAGTAACGGGAAATACTTGCCCTGCATAAAAGAGGCATACRGCTATAGGAAATACTTGTCTGAGAACTTCACAGGAGACAAATAGGAATGAGYATTCATGAGATTAATCCAGACAGTCTCTATTATTCTTAAAACAATTATTTAGTAAGGATATTTGTCTCACATTCCAGGCCTTAAAAACCTCTGCGATACTATCTAAATCCTATCTCATAGGACTTGCTTGTCACCTTACCTTCCATAAGTTCTTTATACCACCTCTAAAACAGTTCCCACCAGAAAGAGAATTCCTGAGCAGAGGAACAGAGACTCCTGTGGGGTCAGCCTCCTTTACACTTCATGGAATTAAATATTCATTTGCAATGCTTATATCTCTGCATAACTAAGAATAGTCACTTTCCCACCATACAGAGCACCCTTCCTTTTTCACTCTGCTTGACTAAATACTCAAAAGTCCAAGAACCTACTCTCTTGCTTATGCTAATAAACAATTAGTTGTCTCTTATTGATTTATTCAAAGAAAATTTTCAGGTGTTGAACTGTATACGCAAGATTACTAAGCAAGTGCAAACCACCCACTACCCGTGAGGATGTCTTTGATTTTTACCTCTGACAAGTTCTGGGCTCCAAGGTTTCCTCCAGGCAAGACCACGACATCGTAAGGCCCCTGAAGAAACAGAAGGTAAAACTTAGCACAGTTCCACAAACAGAGACCGGCACATTCAGTGCATTGCTTTGAGGCCATTAAAGCGGGGCCAGSTGACAAGCGAAGAAATCTATCTTTTCTTCTCTAGAAGACAGTCTGTCTTCTCTAGAAGACAGAAGACTTTATGAGCAAAGAACATGTTTCTTGAAATGGAAGAAAATATTGTTTTCCACACAAGTAAAAGACTAAACTTTTTTTTTTAGCTATGGCTGTCTCAGAACCAAGTTTTAAGCCTGAAGAACTTAAGAGTTTCACTGGGCAAATAGCAGTTCTGCATTGAAAGGATTCCAAGCTTACTATACAGTTCAAACTGTATTTTGCTTGCCATCAGAAGTTTCCTGTTGTTCCAAATCAAGGTGCTTTGTTGGCTACTTAAGACACTAAATAAAACTCTAAGCTTGATGCTTTGTAAAAACAAATGCCTGTTTGGATTTCACAATCTGACTGATCYCAGCACACTGAAAAGCAGCACTACACTAGCAGAGAGAACCGCAGAATGAACAGTTCTGTGAGCTACTGCTGCACAAAGCCAGTACACAATGTATTTCTAAAGGTAATGTAGAAACTTTCCAAATTCTCTTCCTAAACTGTAACGAAGGTCATACTGGTCACTATAACAGATCAGGGAGACCAACCTCTTTTCTGGCATCTTCTAGACTGGCATCAGGACAAATGAAGACATCTCGACTGCACTGCACCGGTTCTTTTCCTGTTAGGCCCGCAACAGTCACCTTGATCTAACAGGATATATATATGTCATTACAATTCATGAAAATGCACTCATTTAGGGGATTTTTTATAGATATTAGCCCTGAAGTAGCACTTAGAACAAGCTGAGCAATACTGAAAGCTGTCAGAAACAGAACAACACTTCATTTCAAACAGTACACTTATAGACTATCTGATCCCTTAAGATTTGCTTGTAACACCTGCTCTAGTTTCCACCCGCCTCATACAATACAATAAAAGGTATGTACACAATAAAAATTGGTTGTTTATGAGATATTTGTTATGTTTATCTTTTGCACAAATGTTGTCTGGCAATGCACGCCTATTTGGGGTATGGTACAAATATTTGCCAAGCAGTAAGAAAACATGGGTGAATTTTCATCCCAAACAACCATCTAGCTCTTGAACTCCCAACAAACACTGTTTTGAGACAAACATATTCACTTGAACAGATGCCCAYTAAAAGACTTTTTCACTGTCTGCATACTCACTCCAGCTCTTCTCATAACATCGGTGGGGATAACAGTTTCCATTTCCTCTGCCCCTTTTGCCAGAATCACCAACGCTCTTTTTGAGGCCATGTCTTGCAGTGCACTGCACACAGGGTTCCTATCAGGTGAGAAATTTGTGAGAGAAGGAGCAGAGAGTCAGAAACAGAACGAGAGAATAGTTAGAAGATAAACCCCCAAATACAAATCCTTCTTCACTGTGAAGTTTAACTGTAAGAAATTTGCATTTCTGCATCATCTTTCACCTATRCTACCTCAAAATGGGTTCACTAGCTTTAATGAAGATTCATGACAATCCTGTTTAGAGAACATGGCGAATTAAGGGGCTGAAAAGCTGAACCAAATGGAGACAGAGTAGGCTAGCACCAGAGCAGGAAACAGCCTGACCTAATCAAGACTTTAGTCTGTGACAAGGAGTGAGGTGGGTGGCCCGGCTGCTTGCAGTTTGCACACCCTCGCTCACACCCAGACTACTCACTCCTACCTGGGGTCAGGGCTTATTAAAAGGGCTTATGGGAGCTTTGACCTCACGTCTGGTATTTAGTTTCCACATCGTGCTTCATGAAGAGTTTCCTGTGACATAAAATGACTCGACCACTGCCTCTGCAAATCAGAGCAATACAWTTTTTTTTTTTGGTATTTCACACTTTTGTGGGGGAGAAAAGCGTATGCACATGTGTGATGGGGGAAGAGGCTGCAGAATTGAGTAAATGGAACAAACTAGGCTTGAGGGTTTTTTTTTTTTTTTAGCTCCTAAATTCACATTGAGGTTTATGGCCGAATTTCCATTTGAAGGTTAAAATAAGTTAACTTCAATTACATCACAAAAAACACACATTAACTCACGCTAGATTAACAGAAGTTCGTGAGAGCACAGGCTGGGCTGTGAGGGAAGGCATTTTACAGTTCATCCATTCTACGAGACAAGGAAATTCCCTGTGCAGGGAATTTCCACACAGAAACACAGCACCCAGTGACTCTTCATAAAATAAAATCCACATCTAGTTGCCTAGATCAAAGAAACCTCCCCCCGCCGCTGCTACCACCACCTTGCTGCAGATTCATGTATTTTCACCTTTGTTCTCTACTCCTAAACYGTTGAGAAAGCCTCTGTTTCCGGAATACAGTACTACATAGCACAAGGGCCTGCAACACACGGAATTGTCCTAAACAGCCTGATTCTGTGAATCAAATCCCATTCCTAGTGCAGTTTTACATACTGATCAACACGGGCCAACTGCGCTGCGCATGCACACAAAYCACAGACCTCAGAAATGACTTGAGGAGAGCTTGGAGCTCTTCTGGAAGGTCTATATTGAATCTGCAACGTAAGTTGCCGATCAGATTTCACTACTTGGCAAATAAGACAGCCTGAAGAGCCACAAGGCTGAAATACTGCACTCGTTTCTTAGCATAGGTAGGTAGCTTGTCTCTTTCAAGTTGTTAGTTCTTTAGATTCAAATGAGCATCTAATCCTATTCCCCTGGCCTAGCAAGTCACAGCCTCTCCCTACCATYGGTAGACGCTTATTACCATATATGTCAGGTTCTTATGCACTAGTACTCTTCTTTACATGCATTCATAYGTAAATGTTACCTGCCACACTATAGATGCTACCAGAGTAAGGCATCACTAAGGCAGAGCCACGTTACAGGGATATCCCAGCCACTTCATTTAACAGGTTATCTACACACGGCTGAATAAGCCTTCCAGTTGCTTCTCGGGACTATKATATGGAGCTGCCCCAAAGCTTTTACCTACACAGGCTCCCGGGGTGACTTGTGGCAGGGGGCTGAGGCAGAACCTCGAGGAAGGGCAGCTGACGAAGGACACGCTTCAGTGCTCACGCACCAGCCGCAGGAGAGCTGCAGCCTACGCGCTCTGCCAGCCTCGAGAAACACAGGATCACAGAATGCTCAACTAGAGATCAGCTAGTCCAACCTTCCTGCTCCAGCAGGGACACCCAGAGCACGGGGCACAGGGCGGCATCCAGGGGGGTTTGAAGACCTCCAGAGAAGGAGAGCCCATAACCTCCCTGGGCAGCCAGGGCTCTGTCACCCTCACAGGAAACAAATTCCTCCTCACCTGGAGACGGAGCTGCCTGTGTTTCAACTTACACCCACTGCCCCTTGTCCTGTCMCTGGCCACCACCGAGAAGAGCCTGGCCCCTTCCTCCCTCCATTCCCCCTTCATGAACATACACATGTTAGTAACACCCGTGTGGCTAGCGCATTTATTTTAAGCACGGGCAACACATCGGCGGTCCTGAAGCCCAGCTCAAGTTTCAGGAGGCCCCGGCGCACGGCTGGGCCGCCTGCCCCGCGCCGCCACGGGAGCGAGGAGCGGCCTGGCGGGGGCAGCCAGGCGCCTCCCCGGCCGCAGCGCGGGGGCCCGCACCGGCCTCGGCCTCTCGGCAGGGGCC